GGAGTATTCTGCCTGCGGGGAGGCACGCCTCGTGGGTGCGCTACGTCACATGACGGTGCCGTCCGTTGGCATCCCACACGGCGCTCTTTTTTTTCCCACGCACGCAAGCACCTACCTGGCCCCGGTCGGCTCGCGGCGCAGCCGAGCTGGCATAAATGACTGCCTGATTGGCTGACCTCCCTCTCACATTGTATGGTGCACATTCCTCTGGTGCACGTATCGCAAGGGCCCAGTATGGTGGATTCTTCTCCCTTCCCAGGAGCGTTTGCTTTTGTGCAACTGTGACAGCACGTTTGGTAGGTTTGAATCGGAAATTTGATGGCGATGTTTTCAGCATCTGATTACTCATGTTTGTTTTGGTCGTAATTGTTTGCGAACCCCTCGAGATTTGTGGTCAATAAGCCTATTTTGACATTTCGCAAGTTTGTGAGGTTTGGGAGAGCTCGCTTACCGCGAGGTCAAAGACTTTCCAACGAATGAAGAACCTTGCGTTGGTACTCATATTTGCATCTACTACTTCCGTCTCATAATATACGTTCTTATATTAGGAGACGAAGGGAGTACTTTCTTAATAAAGAAACGTGATTGCGGAGGACGCTTTTATTACTTCCTTTGGTTTTAGAAAACGACAAAGCTAAAATCCCGCCGACTGGCTGTTTGCAACAGATCCGCATGATCGCGCTGCCGTCCGATTCGAATCCAACGTCGCGCGTTGTCTGTTCCGCGCGAAGCGCGCGTGGCAATAACCGTTACAGCGTTTTGCTGTCAATGACAAGCGGGCCCTGCCGAAACCTCCCCTCTCGCCCAATGCCCACGATCTCCACTCCCCCCTCTTTCCCTTCGCCCGCATTACTTCTCCCCCCACTCGCGTTGCGGTGTGTATTCGAATCCCCTCTCGCTCCCCTCTCCCTCGTCTGTGACGGTTGCTAGTGGTGGCGTGGTACGGTTCGCGACGGACGGCGTCTGAATCTGCGGTGAGGAATGCATTTCCCCACCCCCCTTTGTCTTCCTGTTTTTCTCCGCCGGTATGTTTCCGCCGTTCTGCCGCTGATTTTTGGTGTTCGGAGCCTCCGAATCCGGCCGGTTGTTGTTCCCATTAGGTTGGATTAGGTTAGTTTAGGCTGGCTTCTAGATTCTGAATCGCATTCCCCACCCCCTCTGTCTTCTTGTTGCTCCGCCGGCATGTTCCGCCGTTGATTATTGGTGCTCGGACCCTCCGAATCCGGCCGGTTGTTGTTCCCATTAGGTTAGATTAGGTTGCCTTCTAGTTTCAGTTGAACATGGCTGTGAAATTTGGTTCAATTTTGTGCGAAATTGGCCGGCTGGTGGGTGTCGATAGGTTTTCGTGGTGGATAAGCGTGGTCGGTTCTACTATGGATTTTCCCACCCTTTTTTTTCTTCTGTTGGTGTTGTGGATGTGGATTTTTAGGACATGCAATAGTGTTTGGTGTTTATGGATTTTAGGATGTGCATTAGTGGTTGTGGATTTGAACAGTAACCCTAAGTTCATTCCCAAAATGTTGTTATGTCAGATTTGTTTGATGTGTTCTGTCTATCGATTAGGCTTGTGACGCTCTAATTACCATGTTTACAATGCTTGAATTACCGGTGTTGTTTGTTCTGTTTAATTATCATGATGATGATATTGAACTTGCCAATGACATTGCACTCAAATTACCAGATGCTGAAACACTGCTATTATCGGTGTTGTTTGTTATGTTTAAATTATCATGATGATGGTATTACACTTACCAATCACACGACACTCAAATTACTAGATAATGAAACACCGCTATTTTTATGATTGGTGTTGTTTCTGTGCCTAAATGTCCAGTTGGTCGGTAATTTTCAGTGGTGCAATCGTGCTCTCATTACAAATTGTTTTTCAAACAGCTACATTCACATTAGGTTGTGTTTTTGGACTGCAGCCCCGTGATTTTATGCTTTGTGCTTTTCTTTTTGAATATCCCCAATGATGATGTGTAAGCAGTTACCATTATCATGTTACCGTACTTACCAGTATTTTTCTAGTCTAACTACATGCAGCACAATGCTCATTTCTTATTCAATGGTCTGGTAGTTTTTTGTGTTCTTACCGGCATCATTTTTGTGATTATTAATGACCATGTGTCAATGCTCATTTTATCAGGGGTAAATTGGCTGTACATCATCAAATTGATGCCGCCTTTCTCACTTACCAATATAAGTGTGCCTCAGTTATCAGTTGCATATGCTTTAATATACCTGTGTCATTTGTTTTGCTATAGTTTAGCAGGTGTGGCACCGTCTTTGTTTTTTAACCAGATTATTTTTTCTGTAAACCAAGTGCATTTTGCTCGATTTATTTCTCATGGTCATGATAATCTTTTTTGTGTCACCATGAACCACAATGATATGTTTATCAGCTGTATTATTGCTTTGTCAAACACCAGTTTATAAATGTTGCTACTAATTGTGATATAATTTTTTCATAAGTCATCTAATTGGTTTCATTCGCTTTCTTTTCGTTCCTACGTGACATGGACACAATGCCGAGGAAGCGCAAAGGAG